GTACTTTTGGTGTTACAGCAGGGAAGATGCTAGGGTTTTTGATTACGCAAAGGGGCATCGAGGTCGACCCTTCCAAAATCAAGGCCATCTTAGAAATGCCACCACCAAGGACTGAAAATGAGGTGCGAGGCTTTCTGGGTAAAGTGCAATTCATAAGACGGTTTATCTCTAAATTAACCTTGACTTGTGAACCACTTTTTGCTCTCCTGAAGAAAGGAAAGAAGTTCCAATGGGACGGCCGATGTCAGGCAGCTTTTGAACAGATCAAAGAGTATCTACAGAACCCGCCCGTGTTGTCACCGCCAGAGCCGGGGAGACCGTTGATATTGTATCTTTCGGTAACTGAGACCACCATGGGCTGTATGCTCGCGCAAGAGTCAGGGGACAGAGTGGAAAGGGCCATCTACTATCTTAGCAAGAAGATGCTGGATTACGAGACCCGCTATACACCACTGGAGAAGGCTTGGTTGGCCTTAGTATGGGCTACCAGAAAGCTGCGGCACTACCTGTTAGCTCACTCTGTAATGTTGGTTTCACGTTTGGATCCCATCAAATATCTTTTTGAGAAACCAGCACTTACGGGTAGGCTAGCTGTAATGACCCCCAAATGCGTATAGAAAGTCATCCTTATTTAATTAGGGTTTAATGTGTTTTAATTCAACTATATCTATCGGAATTAAAGAATTATCTGCTGAGTTATGGCGACCTTTATTGTATCAGCTTGAAATTTTTTTTACCCTCCGCTCGAGCATGGGCTCATTTTTGACATTCTTAATAGTGTATTTGGAATGTTCTTACCTTATTTTGGGTTATTGTTTGAGGTGGTGGTATGATGGTAAAGTAAGATTGGACCAACGAATTTAATTCGAATAGTTAATCTACGATCAGCCGTCATTCATTTGTCCTTTTCTTTTTCCACACTTTGAATTTGAATGTGAGGTTAGAACCATTGGAAAGCTTATTTTCGGGGGCTTCGATTTGGACACAAGAACGACCTAGAACGGAGTCCCGATGAGAGAGTTATACCCGTTTGAAATTTTCACATCTATGCTGGAAGCAGAGCCGCACGTGCAGGGAATAGCGCCGCACGTGCGGCCTGTGCGGGACAACAGCTCTAAAAACGGGATTTTGGGGCCATTTCTTGCAATTTCTTTTCCTCTCTTCTTCTCCCCTCTTCCATGTCCGAAACCCTAGCCCCAAATCCTTGAATTCCTTTACTTTGCTCATGATGCACCATGGTTTTTGGCATCAAAGATGGAGAACAAGGGAGGATCAATGTTTTTACCCGATTAGAACTTGGATTTGTGAAGGCTTCTTCTCAAGCTCACTTCTTTGCTTGATTATTGAGGGCACACTTCAGGAGGGCCAAGCACTCCGTTGTAGCACTGTGAGTAGTAGTACTTCGATGTATCTCTAACCGGTAATGATTATTGTCATTGACGTTATGATCTTCGTCATAAGAATTATGTTGACATGTATGTTATGTATGCTACGTAAATATTGTGAAATTATGAAAACATCAAAGGTGTATGCTATATGAGGAATATTGTGAAATTATGGAAACATCAAAGGTGTATGCTATATGAGGAACATTGTGAAATTATGGAAACATCAAAAAGGATTTGTGAAATATGCATCTCGAATTTGTGAAGTATGGATCACCAACTTGTGAAATATGAAACGATGTGGCCGAGGGCCATTTGTGAAGTATGAATTTCCGAGTTGTGAATTGTGAAACTATGAAGCCAAGAGCCGAATTGTGAACCTAATGACCCCAAAATGCGTATAGAAAGTCATCCTTATTTAATTAGGGTTTAATGTGTTTTAATTCAACTATATCTACCGGAATTAAAGAATTATCTGCTGAGTTATGGCGACCTTTATTGTATCGGCTTGAAATTTTTTTACC